TGCAGGGGGTGGTGAAGACTGGAAATTTCATTTTGAGAGAGATGGGTGGGTAGGGGGTACAGTGTTGAGCAGTGCAGTAGGATATAGTTTTTTCTGTGTGACGGTGGGTCTTGATCATCAACTTGCTTGGCTTGAGAGATTCCTAGGAGATTGAAAAGGCACATCTGAGTATGTCTGGGTGGGCTGTGGGGGTGTGACTGAGGATTGCAGCTGGTCCCTGGGCCTCTTTGGCTCTTTCTCAACCTGTCTGCTTCCTAGATGCTGGAGTGGTCAGCTTTCCTGTACCTCTCCTTTCCATTATGAGGTTCCTGCCTCTGAGCCAGCCCACCATTGATGGGAACCTCTGAAACCATGAGTCAAAATAACCTTCTCCCCCTTTAAATTATGTACATCAGGTGTTTTCTTCCTGAGATGGACAGCTGACTGATATACTCTCTAAAAGACCCATTTGGGCTGAGAAAGGGAGACCAGGGCCCTAGAAAGTAGAGGCAGGAAGGTAGCTTAGAGGCTCCTGTGGTCTCATCAGTAAGGAAACTGGCAGCATATCCTCCTTTTCTGACTCCATGCTTCTCTTCATTCATTCATTCCTAGACCAAGGAGAGAATTGTTACCTGTTGTAGGCTACAGAGAAATCTGTGCATGGTAACTCATGCTGGTAATCCTAATACCCAGGGATGCTGAGGCAGGAGGATCACAGGTTCAAGCACCTTAGCAACTTAAGGAGACCCTGTCTCAAAATAGAAAGTAAAAAAGGGCTGGGGATATAGCTTGGTGTGAAGGCCCTAGATTCAATTCCCAGTATCACCAAAAAGAAAAAAATTCTGTCCATGAGGACCACCTACTTAGTATAGATTTGAGTTTAAACCAGTGGTCATCTCCCCTGGGACTGTCTTCCCTCATCTAGGAGGTATTGATAGACCTGGAGACAGTGTTGACTGCCACACCAAGCAGGGGGGTGTTGGTGGGTAAAGGTCAGAGATGCTCTTCAACATCCTCTAGGCATGGGACAGCACCCCCTCCCAACCAAGGAACATGCAGCCCCAGTGTCCACAGGGCTGAGACTGAAAATCTCTGGTCTGCAGTAATATTCTGCAGGAGAGAAGAAAGGACCCCAAAGTCAGACCTCTCAGCTCCAGAGCTCTTCAGTCTCAGGTGTTTTTGCAGCCCCCTTCTGTGGGGTTGTCTGCCTGGCTGACTCTTTGTCCAAGTCCTATTTCCCTGTCCTTTGTGAGCTGCAGAAAGCCATTAAGTCAGTGGATTTTGTCATGATAGGTGCATTCTGCACCAGCCCACAGTCCCCCGCCCCTGGTGGGCTTCTGTGTGGCATTTTCCAAACAAGCCCTTTTCTTCCAGCCACAGAGAAATGTGAGATGACATTTTCTAAAATCGTTGCTTTGTAAAAATGCCAAGACTGATCTCAAGGTACAAAGAGCATTGTGGGTTTAAATGGCAGCACTGTGGCCTCAAGTTATACGTGGTGCTTATTTTCTAGTTAAAATTGCTCATGGGAGATGAGGATTTCTAGCATGTTTCTCTGGCTAAATCACAACCTGTTACCAGCTTGAGGGTTGCAGGTAATCTCTTGGCTTTAGAAACTGCCTGGGTTTCATGTCTCATGCTGTTTCCATGATATCTGTGGCCAGGGGTGAACTATTAAGAAGAATCAGGTTGATTAATTTTGCTGCTTTTCCATTGAAGAAATCAATGCCTGCAAGGAAGCTCCCATGTAACTCTTGATGAAAGCACTCCTCTTTTATTCAGATGCATTTAAAATGCTCAGAAGTAAGTAGAAATTGGGCCTCTTTAGGAAAAAGGAACAGTCAGACACTGATTGGGTGTGAACCAGAGGGGCCCCAGTGCTTTGGTCTATCCAGGTCCTTGGGTCTAGAAAGCAGGCCTGATTGGGGGAGGAGAGAGTGAGGAGTCTGGTTGCCAGGAAACAGTTCCCATGGGGAGGAAAGCATCAGTAGGCTGGCTGTGCACAACTTGAGCCAAGGGCTAGGACAGAAGGAATGAGAAACTCAGCCACATTTCCTCTACCTTCTGTTGCTGAGCTGGAGAAGGAAAGGCATGAGGACACCAAGCGTTGCGGGGGGCAGTGCTGGGTAATCTGAGGGCTGCACTGTGCTGAGAACAGGCTGCCTAGTTAGCCAGGTGGGAGGAAGTCATCTTGACTTTCAGATAATGCTGGAAGTAGGTTGAGGGGTCAGCTCTTTCAAACCTGGGAGCCCTGAAAAAGAGCAAATGAAAGTTTTCCTGGGAGGTGAAAGGAAGTCAGAATAAGTCACAACTGAAGGCTGGTGAGTGTAAAGTAAAAATGATGTCCTCACATCTCCCGCTACTTCCACTGGGAAGGGCGCCTTACAACCCAAGAGTGGGAGTCAGCTTCTAGAGCTGGATGCCTGCCCTCAAATTCTACTTTTGCCACCATAACACTGTGCTTCAGTTTTCCTGCCCATAAAATGGGCACAAGAGCACCTATCTCATGTGGGTGTTTGAGAATTAGAGTTACGCAGCATATAGATTCGAATGCTTTTCTTTTTTTCTTTGCAGTGTTAGGCATTGAACCCAGGCCCTTGTGCATGGTAGGCAAGTGTTCCACTGTGCTCCACTCCCAACCCCACTGAGCCGTGCAGTACTTAGAGCAATGTCTGCACATAGTAAGCTCAGTGTGACTGTTACCACTGCTGTGACTGTTTCTTTTTCTTCTTCTAGATCAGAAACAGAAGAACTAAGCTTATTATCTCTAACTACTTTTTCTTGTTCTTTTTGCAGTATGGGGATTGAACACAGAGCCTTGTCACTGAGCAAAATTCGCAGCCCTTTATGTTTTGAAACAGTATTTCAATATATCACTATGTTACCCATGCTGGTGTCAAATTTGTGATCCGTCTGCCTAGGGATACGCTATCACACCTGGCTTGCATCTGAGTTTCACATGTTCTCTTATTTCTGAGCTTTGTAGAATCATGGCAGTCACTTGGACTTGTACATAGTTTATGTTGTACATGTGTTAGTCAAGATGGGTAAATAGAGCTTAGTAATGAGCAAAAAACTGCTACACAGATTCAGTGCAAACCGTATTGAAATCCCAACAGTATATTTCATATAACTAGAGAAAATAATCCAAAAATTCATTTGGAATCAGAAGAGACCTAGAATAGCAAAAGCAATTCTAGGAAACAGGGACATGGCAGGGGGTATCACAATCCCTAACTCAAAACTATATTACAAAGTCACTGTGATAAAAACAGCATGGTACTGGCAAAGAAACAGACCCAAGGATCAGTGGAATAGATTAGAAGATGCAGAAACATCTCCTAATGTACTCAGCTACCTCATCTTTGACAAAGGAGCCAAACACCCTCTCTGGAGGAAAGATAGCCTCTTTAATAAATGGTGTTGGAAAAACTGGATTTCAACTTGTCAAAGATTAAAACTAGACCTGTATCTTTCACCATGTTCTAAACTAAAATCCAAGTGGATTAAAGATATAAATATTAAAAAAGAAACACTAAACTTTCTGGAAGATAAGTTAGGTAGAGCTCTTGAAGATATCAGCATAGGAGAAGACTTTAGGAACAAATACTCAGTAGCAAGGGAACTAGCACAGAGAATCAACAATTAGGATCTCATCTTTTAAAAAAGCTTCTGCACTGCCAGAGAAATCACAAGCAGGGCTAAAAGACAACCCACAAAAAATTTTTACCAGCTATTCCTCAGACCAAGGTCTACAATCTAGAATATATAAAGAACTAAAAAAAATCAGACCTTCCAAATATAAAAATCCAATTCAAAAAATGGGCATCTGAAATGAACAAACGTTTCTCAGACAAAGGAGTAAAAACAGGAAATAATCATATGAAAAAATTTTCAACATCATTAGTCGTTCAAGAGATACAGATGAAAACAACACTGAGATTCCATCTCACCCCAGTAAGAATGGATGCTATCAAGAAATCACCCAATAACAAATGCTTGGGGGACTGTGCAGAGATAGGAACCCTTCTTCATTGTTGGTGGGAGTGCAGACTGGTGCAAGCACTGTGGAAATCAATATGGAGATACCTCAAAGAACTAGGATTAGAGGTTCCATTTGACCCAGCTATACCTCTGCTGAGTATCTTCCCAAAAGAATTAAAAGAATCATACCACAGAGATATATGCTCACCCATGTTTATAGTGGAACAATTTGTAATAGCTAAAACTTGGAAACAGCCTAATTGCCCATCAACTGGAGACTGGCTAAAAAAAAAAGATGTGGTTTTTTAATAAAATGGAGTACTACTCATAAAGCCATAAAGAATGAGAAACTAGAGAGATTTATAGCTAAGTGGATGCACATTGAGGCCACACTCTTAAGTGAAATTAATAAGTTACACATGTGTAAATACTGAATAATTTTCTGGTGTGAAAAAGTAAAAGTGTAAATAATGATTAAAAATGTATAATAGAATATTGTGTAATAGGAAGAAAATCCTAAAAGATTAGAGTAAGTGGGAGGGGTAGGGGAAAGGTAAAAAGGGAAATGAAAAAATATGTGAAAAGGAAAAACATAGAAACAATGTCTTTGTAAACAGGGAAGGGTGGAGGGGGTGAAGGGAGGGCTGGGGAATGGGGAAAAATAAGAACCTGATAAGTCATGTATAGGTACAAGATCCCAATGATGACCATAACTGTATTATATACCTAATGTGTACCAATCAATTTAATAAAGATAAAAAAAGACCAGCATGTTCTGAAAAAAAAAGATTTCAGACCTGGGGATGTAGCTCTAGTGGTTCAGGACTTGCCTAACAATTATGAGGCCCTGGCTTCAGTCCTCAGTCCAGACCTTCAGTCAGAAGAAAAAGGGTTTAAGTTCCACCCAGACCAGCTTTTCCCGTTTTCTTTTGTGGGGGGTCTCCTGCTCTGCTACCATGGGAAGCACTCACTTTAGGAACTGCTGGGCAGTCCTGGGCCTTGTCCTGAACCTGTCTTGTTTTGCCTTCTCCCCACAGGCCTGGACCAGATCCAGTGCTCTCTGCCCACTGAGAGCCGGAGGGTGGCCCTGCATGAGCTGTCTGAGGCCAGCTTCAGTGAGTGCAAGTTCAGCCTATCGCTCACGGACCTGTTTATCATCATCTTCTCAGGCGTTGCTGTCTCCATCGCCGCAATCATCTCCAGCTTCTTCCTGGCCACCGTGGTGCAGTGCTTCCAGAGGTGTGCCCCCAACAAAGACACCGAGGATGAGGATGAGGATGAGGATGACTGAGTCCCTCTTCTGTTTGTTCCTCATTGTCCTGTCCCTACCAGTGTTGCCTCTGTTAGAGGGGGAAATACAGAGAAGTATCAGCCAATGCTAGTGAGTGGACAGAGCCTGCTCTGTGTCTGGGACCCCAGTGCCCACTGGGGCCTGGACCTCAGAGTTCAGAATCAGCATCTTGCAGAAGCCCAGGAAGGAGGGAGGCATGGTTCCCTAGCAGAGTCCACTCAGGCCAGAGATGTGTGTTGGGAAAAAAGTGGCCAGGTCACCTCCATGGCTGCCTGCTGGAACTCTCCCATGGAGACGTGGATTTGTGGCCTCCAACTATAAGGATGCTTGTGCTGGTCTTTGACCTGCACTAGAAGACCATGAGCCATCTCCTTCCTCCTGAGTGACAGCAGCTTATCAGCAGAGATTCAGGGTCAAGTTCAGACCATTCTCTGGGGGGCAGGAAGTCTCCTCTTTATATCGTAGGCTCAGCAACCTTGAAATTTTATACAAGAACAAATAAATTTCTGCGCAGTAGACAATGTTTGTGCCCCCCACCCCCTGTGGGGTGGTATTTTGAGGTGAGGCCTCTGGGATGTGATTACAGCACCCTCTGGAATGGGGTGGAGAATCTTTGGATTCTGTAGAACCAGGGGTAGACACAGCAGGAAGCTGGCCATCTCTGAACCAGGAAGGGGCCTCTCCAGATCCCAGCTATGTTAAGCCCGGCCCATCCACTCCCAGCCTCCAGAACTGTGCGAAATAAATGTCTGCTGTTTATAAGTCATGCAGCCTGTGGTAATTTTTGATAGCAGCCAAGTATTCAGCTAAAATGGTGCCAAAGTAAAAGCTAAGAACCAGCTACAGGATTGGTTGGTAAATTTTGAAACACAGTTATTGGCATAACTCAAACCCTGGTCCTAACTCTAAGAGGCAGCACCTTGGATCAGAGCAAAGTCACTTTGCTCAGAGCCCCTTTTCCCCTGGAGTGCAGTCCGAGTCTCTCCTTGGCCATTAACACTTGTTGCTCTCTGTGCTGGTCTGGTTCCAGTGTGTCCATTGTAGAACTTGTGGTTTTGCATTCCAATTAGCAGGCTCCACTGGGCCAATAAAATGTCTGCCAATAAAATGTCATTCTCCTTGTACAAAACCCTCACTGGAGCCATGCATGATGACACATACTTGTAATCCCAGTTGTTTGGGGAGCTGAGGCAGGAGGATGCCAAGTTTAAGCCCAGCCAGGGCTACTCAATAACTTAGTGAGGCCCTGTCTCAAAAAATAAGGATAAAGGTGGAGGATGTAGCCCAGTGAGAAGGCCCTGGGTTCAATCCCGGATACGACAAAAAGAAAAAAATTCCCACTGAGATTTGGCCTCTGAATGACCTGCATCAGTAGCCTCGGGGAGAATGTGACATTTCTTTGGTACATAGGCTGTGACAGGCAGAGCTCTCCAGGACATGGCATGCAGTACTTTAGTTGGAGACAGTATGAAACAAGCAAGACATGTGCCCCGGTGGTGATACGAAGTGACTGGGCCCGGGAGATGGGGCCGAGCTCACAAGTAGCTCCTGGGATTCTTTGGGGGACCAGGTTCAGTACCTACTCCTTTGAGCTCACAGTATGTCTTATGTTTCCTTCTTTCACTGCTCCCTTCTGTCTTTGCTTCTACACATAATTATTGAGTACTACAGTCCAAACACTGTGGTTATATATGAAATAAGAAAGATGGAGCTGGTTGTGGTGGCATGCACCTGTAATACTAGAACTCTGGGTAGCTGAGGCAGGAGGTTCACAAGTTTGGGTCCAGTCTGGGCAATTTAGCAAGACCCTGTTTCAAAATAAAAGATGAAAAAGACTGGAAATGTAGCAACGTCCCTGGATTCAATCCTCAGTAACAACAAAGTAAAAGCTCCTCTCCTACATCTCTGCAAGTGTCCGTGGATCTCAGTTCCATCCCACTCTCCTACCCTGTCTTCTGGACAGCACATGCCAAGATCTGACATAACCCTCTTGCTTGTGTATGTGTTCACTGTCTACCTCCTAGGACTAGTACTTCAGCTCCCCGAGGGCAGGAACCTTGTGTCCTCAGTGTGTAGAACAATACATATAGTGGTGACACAGCCAGCCCCCCAATTGGCTGAAAGAGCAATGAATTACAAGTCTGGCCCACCCCTCTGCAAGCTTGAGCCCTATGTATGCATTCTCACAACGCCAGGGAAGACCTGGAAGATTCACAAGTTTGTGGATGAGGAAACTGGGTTTCAGGGAAGGTAGACAGAGTGCCGGAAGTGACAGAGCCAGAATAAATGAGTGTCTGGTGTCTAAGTCTGAGCTCTCATTAGGAGGACAGGCTGTGCATACCGAACACTTTCTGTGCTTCCCGGCCACTCTTTCTTTCTCCCCCACCCTCTGAGATCCAGATGGTCAAAGTCACAGGCATTAATTCAGCGTGCAGTCAGGGGCTGGAGACAGCTTCTCTTTCACCTCTATGAAACCTGGAGCACATCATGACTGTGAGTCTCATTACTATCCTGACACCAACTAAGGCAGGGGCCAGCCCTGTACTTTGGCTGTAAGTCCTTTTAGTGGCCTCTAGTGGCCTTGCAGGGTAAGTAGTTTTATTTGCAAAGCAGTAGGCTTAAACCCTGTACAAGGAGTCTTCTCTGAAGCAAACCCCTGCAGCTTTCATGGGTTTCCTTTGCCTGCCGGCAATAAGGTTGCTTTGTTCTTTAGTCCTGGATAATAAACACACATATGAACTTTACATGGTTTTGCACAGAAAGGATAGTTTAAAAAGGAAAACGTACTGTTCACTGCTATTGGCAAATGCAATCTGTTTTTTCATTTGTTTGTTTTTTTCAAACATACCTTTTCCAGGTATAAGTGAATTATTATATTTTGGCCTGGGCAAAAAATACAAAGTTCTTTTTTGATAAAACTTCACAGCCATGTTCAGAACCATTGGTGGAAAACTCTTGTTCTCTGGGTTTCACTGGAACCTAAGCTGGGAGCTGGTTTTCTAAGAATCATCCTTCCAGAGTTGGACACTCAGTGAGAGTGGATAAATCTAACGGTGGAGCAGAGGCCTGTCAACTCCAAAGGAGCCCTCTGGCAGTGGAGGGCTAGCTGCCCGACTGGGGAGGCACTGTCCTCAGCTTAGTGCCCTTGGCTGTGCTCCGGGACCCCTGGGGGGCAACGACCCTCCTTTGTGGAATAGTCACTGAGTTCTCTGCAGAGCTGGTGAGATTCAGGGAAAATAACAGAGGGCTCACCTGCAAAGGTGGGCTTCTCCCCACCACTTCCTGTTCTCACCCCTGAGGGCCCTAGCAGGGGCCCCAGAGCTTCTTCAGGTGTCCAGAAGATGGGGAGGAGGTATTAGGAGAGTGGAAGCCTGGTGCCAAATCTCAGCATCATATCTGGCTCTTCCAGCCCAGTGGGGTGGTTTAACAACAGGCTGCCCTCGAGCTCCACCACCAGCGTAGACCAAGGCTGCTTCCATGCACTGGGCAAACAAATGAGGCCACATCAATTCTCCCTACCATCCCTTAGGCCTGGATGAAAGGTTTTGCTGCCGGCTAGATTGGGTCTTTGCTTTTGGTAACAGTGGAAATTAAAACAAAAGCACAATTTTATAGAAAAAGTTTTAATTGGAAAGCTCCAGGGAAGATAGGAAAGGACCCCAGCTTAGGTAGCTGGAGGGGGCACAATTCAGTATGGGGTTCAAACTGGCCACGTGCAAATTCTGGCTAATTTATATCTCAGTCCTGGAATCTTTGTGGCTGGAGGGTGGCTTCATTCCCAGGTGTTCGCAAGTTCAGGACAGTGGCTAGAGACTTCTCAGGCATAGCTGAAAATAACCTGTCCTGGTGTCCTCAGTCTTGAAGGGTGTGAGATTATTAAATTTAGGGAAAATGCACCCTGGCTTACCAACTTTTAGACAGGCACCCCCTGAGTGATTTGCATATCTAAATGCTAAACTGAGAAGACATTTGACCCAAACTTTGAAGCAACAAAGAATACAAGATGAAGGCCAAACTTTGTTCTGCTTTCAGTTACTGCCTGGGTATCTGCAGGCCCGAAGGATGTCACAATTCATAGCAAAAATGGCTTTGAAGTCCCTGGCTGTCCCAGGGGCAGGGGGCTGGGGATGCAAATCGTGCTTTTAAAGAGCAGTGGGAAAGGGGCCGGGATCCCGCCTCCCATGAGTGATCCCCAACTGTGTTACTGGTCTTGGGCAAACAGAATGGGCTGTGTTTACCTGCTTCAGAGAGAAGCAGGTCTCTGTTTACACTTTAGGTAAATGGATGTCTCTGTTGAGTTTGCTTTGAGATCTCAAAGTCTTTCTAACCTTTTTCCAAAGGTCTGAGCTTTATATGGGCCCTGGGCTTTACAAAGGAAATTCATATCTTCTTTGCTGTTGAAGTAGCCCCAGCCACCTGTTTCCAGCCTGCTCATGACTAACTCTCTGCCTAACATGACCGCAGCAGTTTTACCTCTGGGAGCTCAGTCCCTGACCCTAAGTATTTCTAGGGATGGGCACCTTTCTGAAGCAAAGCCCAGATGTGAACTAAGTGGCCATTGTCAGCCAAGAAGTCACTCCAGCCTTGGACTGTATGGCTGCCCTGAACCCTGCTCTGGCTCTCCAGGGTCTGACTCAAGCTGTCTGTCCCTGGAGACGATAAGGCAGAGAGCTTCTTTTCAGCCTTTATCACCAGGGACTACCCTGCTTCTCTGGGACGTGGCTTCTCCTTGGGGTCAGAATTAGTCCCACTGCCAGGCCGAGAACCAGGGCCCTGGAACTAGGCACTTCTCTCTCCAGTCTCCCCCCATCCACAATCTCTCCCCTTATCTGGCCCTAGCCCCCTCCTCTCAGGTTAAGCAGGGTGAGCACACCTGTTTGTCACAAGCAGGAGTGTGCACTAACTGGAGGTCGAGACAGTATAAAAAAGCCAAATAGCTTTTTTATGTATATTATATATGTCACACATCAAATATATTAATTCATACCTGCCAGTTGCCACTCCCTGTACCTGCACAAGTCCAAGGGGTGAGACTTTGTTTTTCCTTTCCTGATGATTGTGGTGTTTGACCCAGTTTCCTCCTCCTCTATCCCGGGGTCCACTCCAGGCAGGCGTCCAATGTCTCCACAGAGGTCTCGTCCAAGATCTCACCTGGCAGGTTGCTGTTGAGCTGGATCGGTCACCGAGTGGGACGAGCTGGTCTTCTGCTCTCTCTCTTTTATACCATTCTAACTGGGGGTCTGTGGCACTGGTTTGGGTTTTATCTCTTCACACATATTGGGGCTGTTTGAGTAGATATTGGAGCTGCACACGTCATAGGGTTTCACACATTGGATTTAGATAACAGGGTTACACGTGTCATAGGGTGATCTGTTGGGTTAGATATCACTCTTACTCTTTTGGGTAAAAAAACTGTTTTTCTACTCCATTAATGGGGCTGCAATATTTTGTTGAGTTACGTCATCCTGGTCTGCTCTGTTTTGTGTGGGGAATGGTGTTATGCAGTTTTTAATGTAGTGCATTCTACTCTTTACACTGTTCTTCCCTCTTTACACCCTTCACACTGCTTCCTGGGAGGGTAAGAAAATCAGGGACTTCTACCAGAGAACAGGTCTCCTCCTCCCTGTGGACTTCCCTGACCCCAGAGACCCTGCCAGACTCTAAGCTCCATGAGGCCCGAGCTCATGGGTGTCACCATAACTACATGCCACCACTGTGGCCACACCAGACTGCAGG